AAATCTGTGGCTTAAGAGATTGGTTAACCTGTTTTATATTCTATAGTCTAAGTTAAGTTTTTCTGTCTTGTATTTTGTTTTCATTATTGTAAATGAGTGTAAAAAGATGTTTATCACTACAGGTAAAAGGATGAAAGTCTTATTCAAAACGTTTCTTGTCGAAAACATTCTGACTGATCTTTGCTAATCACTGAAGGTATAAAACGAGAAAAATTTATCAATCGTGCTGATTGGAGTCATTCTACAAAATTAGCCGAAGATTTGTACGTAGTTGATAAATAATTCTCGAATGCTTTCGCGAGCAATATACAAACGTTATCACAATGTTTGTATATTGCTCGCGAAATCGAAGTCATAATGTCATTATGACTTTTGATGAACAATGAGATATCTTTAGTAAAATTTGTAGAAATTGCTAACCAATTTGATGTGTGACATTTCTATAAAAGAATGAACAATATTATGTTTTGTAATCGAGATCTTCTGCTCTCAAAGAAAAGACATCCTTCCATCTTGTTACTGACAAAAAATCCCAAAGAAATCATACGAGTCTTTAGTGCGCTTGAAGAAAATATTCCAGTCTTCGAAAAATGCCCTAGAATTCTTTTATTAATAACAACAATATTGTTGCGACCCAACGTTGTTTTGTAAGAAAAATTCTGTACGCAATCTGAATTTTGGGTATATAACGCGTTCATTTGATAAATACAAAATAAAATTTGCTCTGTATTAGATACTTGTTGAGAAAGAGCACATATTGTTCATTTCTTCCACATGAATAGATCAATCAAATTTTTTTATTTGATATCATAGAAAAGAAAAGAATAAAACGTATCTCATTGGTTAAATGAGATAATAACAGGAGAATGATGTGTATTAAAATCTGAAATGTGTTATTTCAGTGAAATCAAAGGATTCACTAAAAAACATAATAAAAGAAAAAGCAGGTGGTTCCTCCGCTCATCCGTCTTTCTACACATATAGTAACTTTGACATCGGCAGAAAATCAGAAGTTTCTAGCAATTCTAATGACTCTAAAAATAGTTTTAATGGATTCTCTATAGTCGATTTTCTATCATCTATTGTTTCTTACGATTAAGCTGGAAAATTTTCGACTAATAAAGATCGTTCGTAGAGATTATTAAGAGCCCTCAGGTGTCGGATATTATGTTCAACTTGTATTTTGCTAAAAACCATAACAGCGATGAAGTTTCTTAAAATGGTCCGAAAACCTCCTGGAGATATTCTGGTTGTACCATCATGATTATCTTTAGTCCATAAGCTTCAGCTAGCGATATGATTTCTGTAAAAATTTATAGGATTTTTGATTTCTTCATGTGAGCAAACACATACATTTTTTTATATGATCCTTACTAACGTCAAGGAAATAAGACTTTTTTTTTGCTCTATCAGATATGTGCTTGAGAAACGGGACAATATGTACTGTTAATATTCATAAACATTAGCATAATCGCCTGAACCGGGTGTTGAAACAAAAAAAACAAATATTTATATTTTGATACTCTACCTGTTATATGATATTCCAGAATATGTTGTTTAATATGTACAATTGATCATCGATAACAGCACAATCAAAATTCATAATGCAAAGTCAATATTCATACCACACTTAGGGATATTTGATTCAAGTTTGATTTGTTATGTCTCTGTACAAGAAGTAGATGTTTTGTATTTTTGTCATTGTTTTAAAGATTTTGAGATGTTCCTGTAGGCTACACATTCTTCCGTTTAAAAACTCTTTTCTCTTTAATCTACGATGTTTCAGATCTCTGGACTTTTCATCCTTCGAAAATTATAGGAGAAACAAATCATTTGTTTATCGTATTTTAAATAAAGCAACACATGAACAAAATATTTATATGATATTTTTATATCATTGTTTTATTCGTTTTATACATATACAATTAAAAGATGAACAAAAAGATATTTATGAACATAATCTACGGCTTTATCGTGGACAAACAATGTCAACAAATGAATTAAATAATTTAAAACTAGGAACATTTTTATCAACATAAAAATCAAAGAAAGTAGTATTAGGTTTTGCTAAACAAGTACATGTTTCGGAACAAATACAAGCTGTTCTATTTGATATTAATATTCACAACACAAAACGACATGATAAGAAAACGATTTGCTTAACATATCTAAGTTATTTTCAACATGAAAATGAAATTTGGTTTGATTTAAGCTCACTATTTAAAATTATCGATATCAGATATGTCTATGATAAAATCTGGAACATTAAATGAAATTTAATTGATAAAAGTGATAATAAATAAGGAAATATTTATAATTAAAAGAAATCACATATTACTAAAAACAACAAAAATATATTAAGTAAGGATAGCTAACATATTTCACCAATTTATCATAACTTAGGTACATCTGTTGATATAAAATATGATTATAATAAAGCGTTATATTATTATCAACAATCAATTGATTATGCTAGTCTTGCTGAAACATATTTTGATATTGCAAATATTTATTCAATTAAAGGTGACTATGAATCTTCAAAAAAGTGTTTCCAACAAGCAATTAATTTATAATTACAAAATGTTGAACTAAATAATTTACCAATAGCATATATTTATTTAGTTTTTGGTAATGATTAGACGAGATAAAAGAATATATCAGTTAGTTTTAGAATATTATAATAAATGCCTTGATATATGCAATACTCGATTCTTGATAAATCATCCGTTGTTAGCTGATACGGTAGTTAATATTGCTACGGTTTATGCTCATCAAAGTAAACAAGAACAAGCATTAATATTATATAAAAAGGCAGTAAGAATTCAATCAACAACATTACCATTAAAACATCCTCTATTGAGTAATATTCATTCAAACATTGACGCTGTTTATGAACAACTAAATAATTATAATTTAGCTTTAAAACAGTGTACAATAGCATCAAATATTTTAAATGAACAATCATTAACGTCAACATATCCATTAATTATTACAATATAAAAGAATATTGATAATGTTAAAGATAAATGAATTCTATTTTCTGAAGAGTAAACGTTTTATTTTTTATTCATTGAAAAAGAAATGAATTTTTCCTTAATTAATAAATAAGTGAAAATCAGTAATTAACCCATCTAATAAGTTCGGCATCATCCTGGTAATGTATAAATTGAAAATGTCACAAGAATATTGTTTTCCAATATAATAACACTTTCAGCCACAAATACCAGTCAAATTGAATTTAAAAACGTTCGTCTCTCATATCTCAGTTGATTGGAACAATTCCTACTCAATGATTTTTTTCTTTGATGCACTATGAGAGCTATAATGACATTTGTCACTGTTGCGTCTTAACTCCATCAAACATCTCCATAGTAAGCGTCAAACCATTCGTTAATATGCTTATTTTGGCGAAAATTCAAGCTTTTTTTATTAAATTTGAATTTTGAGCGAAGCGAGGGAAAAATAAATAAGTAATGACTAACAGTTGTTCCTACTTGTTGTACATCTTTCACATGGCATCCAAATTAGTTTTGTGAAAAACAGCTAATGGAAAAACACAAAACTATTCATGTTCTAAACACGATTATGTTCTCATGAAATCTTTTAACACCAAGAAATCTTTTTTGCAGTTTGCGATTGATCGTTTCATTCAGGTTACATAAGAGTAAGAGATTTGGAGATATAGGGATAGATACGGGGAAGATACATCATCAAATAGTTACATGTGAAAACATAGTGTAGACTATTAATATAAGTGGGCGATAAACACTATACCTAGTACTAACTCTATATGAGTTATATTCAATCCGTACAGAGTCACATTTGCCGCAAAAGAAGCAAAAGAAACTGCTCAATGGCGGATTTAGGGTTAGAATGAGTGAGCGATCGTTTCTATCGCCTCCTCTCCCCAAATTTTCCTACGAGAACCACTGCCGCCTCAGGGTAATTTCTGTTTTTGGGTAAAGTTATTATTTGTGCTGTCTCGAAAGTCTTTAGAAAAAGAAGAAAATTCATACTACACCTAAAGACGTTGAAAAAAATGAAATTCATACTATCTCGAATGACTTTTAAAAAATTCCGCCCCGCCACTTAAAAAATTTTGAATCCGGTGCTGCAGTTACTCACAAGATTCGATGCAGCATCATTTACTTTGCGCGCAACTAATAATTCTGTAAGTTTCGGATATATTTCAATCGAATTGTGATTAATTAATTATGCTTTCCTTTTTAAGGTTGGCGATCTAATGGTATCCATATCAGTTTTACTACAAAAATAAGAGCGGCACTTCAATCGATTGAAAACAATATGGTACATGGAAGCAATGTCTTCAAACTCACTTTGATTTGATCCTTTTTCATTTTCACTTCTAGATTTCCAAGATGAAATGTCGCCATTCGCCAATGAATGTCAAATTGAAGTGTCAACTACGATAAAGACGAAAAAAACATACTAAGAAAAACCCATAGTTTGACCAAAAATAAATATATACTCAATTATTCAGGTGGTAATTGCTTATTCATGATTAGTAAAACTATTTGTACTAAATTAGGTGTATTTAATTTAACAAAGAAAAATGTTGGTTTTGTGGTAAAGAATGCTGTTTTGTCGCTCTTTTTACTTTTTATTCCTGTTATAAAATTATTTAGAGTACACGAATGTGTGTTTAATGAATAATACAGAATCCACATAACCTAAAAGTAATTGGATAAATGTCGAGCATTATTTCTACATGTTTCTGATGTGGCGGGAAGTTAATTATTTTTCCGTTGGAAAATGCAACGTCTGAACTTCAAAAAAGATAGAAAATCAAACTTTTAGTAGTTGAGTTTGAGTGTGAAAAAATTTAAATACCAAACATTACCAAAAAAGCTCTCATAAAGTGCTTTTTTCTTTATTTCTTCACTGTAGTCTAAACGAGAAAGCTTTTTTGAAAGCCAGATAGATGAGAATGTCGCCCGCACAAAAGTCTATCGAGCCTTCTACTTTCGATAGTCTTCCAGTAATTCGTTGATAGTAATAAAAGCGTATATAAAACTTTGTTTCATAAAAAATACTCATTTGCATCAAAAAGATAAAACATTGAGAAAATCTGTTTTATTCATGGTACAAAGGATGTTCTAGTTTCTATAACTGCATAATTTCCAACGTACTCTGTTATTGGAAAAAAATACATTTAATGAGAGAGATAGTTAGGAGACCGCGAATGTTAGAAGAGCTTTTTTTGGCAATGCTTGGTATTTAAATTTTTTCTCACTCAAACTCAACTACTAAAAGTTTGGTTTTCTATCTTTTTAGAAGGTCAGACGTTGCTCTTTTCAACAGAACAATAATTAACTTTCCAACACATCAAGAATATGTAGAAATAATGCCCGACATTTGTCCAATTACTTTTGCATCGTAGGTTATACCAAAATCAAACGGTTATACCAATATAAACGGTTGTCTATGCAAAATAAATATGGTTATTAACATACGTTGTTTTATCAATATATGCTAATATTGTCAAATGAATAACGGTTAATTAGAAATGTGTCACCTTTGTATCTAAATGCTCACTTAATAAATTTAATACGTTTTTTGAGATATTTTTAAATACGATACAAAATTTTGATTTTCTTTTGGAAAAATATCAGATTTAATGATCAAGTTTCGATGTATTATAAATTAGGTCTAAGTTCCCGTAAGTCCCGTGAATAAAGTAGCTTTTGTCGACAATAATCTATTTCTTAATTCTGCACATCAATGTATCAGAACTTGCATGGAGGTAATAGTTGCTTATATTTTAGAAAAAACCATGGCCATTTAGCTGGAATACCAATTTCAAATAAATTGTCATCATCATTGACAACAATTGGAATAGTAGATAAATTTGCAAAAAAGAACTTCTAACATGTCTCATAGATTTTAAATACTTTGCGTCACAATCTACGCTAAATCCGATAGCATCAATCGATTCTTTTCAAAATTCATTATAAATATCCAGCCAACCAGAACATTAGCGTCTTGAGATCATCTTGAATTGCATGGAAGATACGTAATTTACTACGTTAATTCTAGTGGAAATGTTTGTTTTTGAAGAAGAACTAAGAATACATTACAATAACCTGAAAGCTTCAGGATGTGGTTAATTGTGACCGTTAAACGTTTTTTATGGGACGCGTTTGGTTAGTTGATTGATACTTAGCGAATCAGAGGAATAGGTAGCACTTAGAAATGATAACTCCTGTTGATAGGTTAAGATAAACTAGGAACAAATGCTGAGAGCAAATCACTACAATCAACGTAATTTCCGTTGACTGTAGCGATTTGCTTCTACCTTATCTCAACTTTAAATTAATAACTTCATAGAAATGATTCAAACTGACAAAAAGTAAAATCGTATGAGGTAGTCCTTCCGAAAAGATACTACGTTTACATCGACTTTATCCAAATTGTTAAATATTAACAGGACTAGTACAACTCGAACCCCTCATTTCGAATATGTTCGACGCGTCTTTTCAAGCTCTATTCGACGAAGTGGTTCTCATTGGGATTAAAACGTTTAACCATATAAAAGAGCCAACCTCTGAAGGCTATTTGCAAAATAAAGTTGGGAATCTGGTGATACTTTTCTGGAAAAAAGCGTTTCTCTTGAAGGTACGCAACCAATGCGTATGCGTTTCCTCTAAATATATTATAATTATGTTCTTTGATAACAAACGTTTTGAATATGACTTTCGTCCTTTACCTGTAGTGATAAACATCTTTTTACACTCATTTACAATAATGAAAACAAAATACAAGACAGAAAAACTTAACTTAGACTATAGAATATAAAACAGGTTAACCAATCTCTTAAGCCACAGATTT